CTGCATGCCTCACACTTAGAGGGTTTCTCTCCGACTTGAGTTCTTAGGTGCTCAATGAGACAAAAAAAAAAAAACCTGGTGAAGACTTTGCCCCATTGCTTGCAGAGGAAAAGCTTCCTTCCCATGTGCTTTCTGGTATGGGTCACGAGACAGGTGGACGTGAAGGCTTTCCCACACTCCTTATACGCATAGGCTTGTGTGCACTGTGAGTGCGCATGTGCCGGGAGAGACCCCCCCAGTACTGAGCGAAGGCTTTGCCGCTCTTGGGGCCTGTGTGGGTCTCTCCCCAGTGTGGGTTCGCATGTGCTTGCCCAGGTAAGCGGGGTCTCAGGAACGCTTTGCACATGGCTCGCATCTGTAGGGGGGCTCCACGCGAGGCTGGCCACGTGCATGGCAAAGTCCCTGCAGAGAAGGAAGGGGCCCCCACTGTCACTCCCTCCACACAGCTTGTCTTCACCCTGAGTTCCACGAGGGCCTGGACAGGGATGGCCAGGCAAAGGCGTGCCCACTTCCCCTGTGTCCTGGGGTTCTTCTCGCAGGCAGGCAGTTCTCCGGTAATTTCGGGGTGGGGATGAGGGTTTCTGGGTTGTCAGCGAGTGCAGAGAGCATCTCTGCCGTAGAGGTTTTCACCTGCAGGGTGAGGAAGGCTTTTCCACCTGGATTGGGCTCACAATTGTTCCCTGCAGCTGGAGTTCTCTGGTCTAGGTGCTCGCAGGCATGCAGTTGAGTAGCTTGGCTGCCACTTCTCTGTTGATAAGATGATGAGGGAAGGTTAAAGCACGTGATTGGACGATGGTAATGACCTTGAGGACTTTCAGTATGACTTTCAGCATGGTGTTATGTCGGGTCTTCGTCCGTCCCACAAAAGACGGACGGGGTCCGAGGAAAGGTAAGTGCGGCGCTTGCCTGTTTCCTAGCCTCCCTCAGCCCAGGAGACAATCAGACACAGCAGGGAGCCAAATCCAGCAGGTAGAAAACTCGTTTATTAACCGAGAGCAGCCCCTTTTTAAAGACAAAAAGGGTGGGTGGTATGGTAAGGGAGGAAGAGGAACCAATCACTGTCAAGGTCACACCCTATCATTCACCTGAGCCTTCACGGGCTGGTTAGGCACCGATGGGCAGATCAATTGGGGTCTGCCCACTCTACTCTCTCCCAGAGCCATCTTGGCTGCCCATGTGCTCTACAGTAAATTAGGCTCTGCCCACTCTACCCCTTCCCAGCGCCATCTTTGCTGCCCATGTGCTCCACAGTGTTACATTTGTGCAGCTCTGTGACAAAAGTCACAGAAACAACACAATGGTCAGAGCGTCTCCTGGTGTCTCTCTTGGGGAAACACTGCTTCTCTCACCTAGTTTTGTTTTTTTTGTTTTGTTTTGTTTTTTTTTGCTAGTTCTGGGGCTTCTACTCAGGGCCTGGGCAGTGTCCCTGAGTTTGTGTTGCTCAAGGCTAGCAGTCTACTGCTTGAGCCACAGTGCCACTTCCGGCTTTTTCTGTGTATGTGGTATGAGGAATTGAACCCAGGGCTTTATGCATGTTAGGCAAGCACTCTACCACTAAGCCACATTCCCAGTCCTCACCTAGCTCCTGTTTGGGCTGATTTCCTAAAATGGAACTCCCTGTGGTTTTCTGAGTATAAATAAACAAACAGAAGACATTCTTCCTTGATCTTACCATCTGTATCCTGCTGCAGGCTTGTCCCTTCTAAAGCTCCTGTGCATGTGTGGACTCACTGGTACTAAGTGGTTTTTCATATTCTGAAGACACACTGGAAAATGGAATTAAGATTTGCATAAAGAAATAGCCAAGGCCCAGAGTTCAAGACCCACAAACGACAAAAAAGAAAAGAGAAAGAAATGGCCAAAGCTGGGCACAGGTAGCTCATGCTGCAATTCCACCTACTGAGGAGGACTGGATCTGAGGATCACAGTTCAAAGCCAGCCTAGGCAGGAAAGTCCATGAGACTCTTACCTCTAACTGACTACCAAAATGCTGGAAGTGGAGCTGTGGGCCAAGTAGTAAAGAGAGCATCGGCCTTGAGCAAAAAAGCTCAGGAAAAACAGCTGGGTGTCTTCAAGCCATAGGAGTAAGGGGAAAACAAAATGAAATACCAGCTGCAGGAGTTAAAATAACAAAACTGATTTGTATTTGTTTTCAAATTAATTTTTTTTTTGTCAGTCCTGTGGCTTGAACTCAGCCTGGGCGCTGTCCCTGAGCTCTTCAGCTCAAGGCTAGCACTCTACCACTTGAGCCACAGCTCCACTTGCCTGGTGCTGAGGAATTGAACCCAGGGCCTTACATGTGAGGCAAGCGCTCTACCACTGAGCCAACTTCCCAGCCCCTAAATTTTTTTTTTTTTTTGTCGGTCGTGGGGCTTGAACTCTGGGCCTGGGCGCTGTCCCTCAGCTCTTCAGCTCAAGGCGAGCGCTCTACCACTTGAGCTACAGCGCCACTTCTGGTTTTCTGGTGGTTTATTGGAGATAGGAGTCTCACAGACTTTCCTGCCCAGGCTGGCTTTGAACCGCGATCCTCAGATCTCAGCCTCCTGAGTAGCTAGGATTACAGGAGTGAGCCACCAGCTCCCGGCTCCCTAAAAAAATTTTAAGCAATTTTTTTATTGCGATTAAGTGATTACATGAATTTCACGAATTTCACAGTATTGTGATACTTAAAGTATCACAGACAGTGATACTTAAAGTCACAAACACATTCTAACCTTCATGGGGCAAATTGTCTTTTCATGGTCTATGAAGTTTATGAGTTCTATGAACTTTGAAAATACAGTTAATTCTTCCACATGGAGTGATATGTACATTTCTTTCCTTTTGCGTAGTGTCAGCTGTTCCCTCTTTCCCGCTCATTCCCTCCCTCCCATCACTGCCATTGAGTTGTTTAGTTTAGTTTTGTTTGTTTTTATCAATGTCCAGTGCAGCTGATGGGTCCCACTGTTGTATGTTTTCTGGTTTCCCTCTGTTTCTGTGTCCTCTTTCTAGTTTCCCTCCAATGTGCACAAACACACACACACACACACATATACCATATATGTGGTCATCAGCATGGTGTCATTTAGTAATGATTCGACCAAGTGAGTGGAGGTCCTTTGTTTCTCCAGTCTTGTTTACTTTGTCATATCTCCTTATTTGGATTTAATAGCCACTTATCAGGGAGACCATATGCCGTTTGTCTCTTTGCTCTTGGCTTACCTCACTCAACATGATTTCTTCTAGGTCCATCCATTTCCCTGTGAATGCCATTATTTTGTCCTTTCTAATGGCTGCATAATACTCCATTGTGTATAGGTACCACAACTTTTGGATCCATTCATCTGTAGTGGGGCGTCTGGGTTGTTTCCATATCCTGGCTATTGTGAACAGTGCTGCAATAAACATGGAGATGCATGTGTCCTTGCATCCTGGTTCCTGTTGTTCAAGATCCTAAAAATGTCTTTTATGGTACTTTTAGGGCTTGAACTCAGAGTCTGAACATAGTCCTTTAGCTTTTTCTCTCAAGGCTAGTGTTCTACCACTCAAGCCACAGTTTGACTTCTGGCTTTTTGCTGGTTAAGTGGAGATAAAGAGTCCCATAAATTTTCCTGCACAGGATGCTGGCTCTCAGCCTCAATTGACCTGACCCATCCAGGAGGATCCATACAGGAGAGCACCCCTATAGATACCAGGAGTGTGGCTTCAAGGCCTTTGCCCACTGCTCCAATCTTGCACCAGAGGACCCACACTGGCGAGAAGCCGTATGCATGTAAGATGTGCACGCGTGTGTTCACGTATTCCTCAAGTTGCAATAACCACACACCAATTCACAAAGCCTCCTGACATTCTCCAGGGAGTTTCAAGACTGTGAGAAGGTTCATTTACCACATTCTTTGTTCTCTTGTTGGTCATGGGGCTTGAACTTGGGGCCTAGGCTCTGTCCCTGAACACTTTTGCTCCAGGTGAGTGCCCTACCACTTTGAGCCACAGCTCCACTTCTGGTTTTCTAGTGGTTCATTGGAGATAAAGAGTCTCATGGCTTTTCCTGCACAGGCTGGCTTCAAACCATGATCCTCAGATCTCAGCTTCCTCAGTAGTAGGATTACACTGGTGAGTCACTAATGCCCAGCTATTTACCATATTCTTGATGGGTTCCATGCTATGCTCCCCTGGTGAACAGCTGCTGGAATGTGAACAGAGGGGCAGGGCTGTCAGGGACTGGCGATGTCATCCTGGAAAGAAGCCCAGGGAATGAATGTCAGGCCACAGAGACCTGGCAAGCTCACTGGTGATGCTGGTTCCTGCGATTGTGTGCCATTGAGAAAAGTTCCACCTTGTTCCTTTAGCAAGGCTGCTGTGTTGCTTCTGCTCAGGTGTTGAGCAGCACAGCACTCTATTCTGACTACACCTTGCTTTTGTAGTCAAGATGTGATGTGATGTGTAGATATTTGACAGTTCAAAGAACTATCCTCTGTTGTTTGAGCATCATTGGGTTAACTGTCACTGAGTAAAGTTCTCTCTGTATTTAAAATGTGTGTGTGTGGTGAAAAGCAGCGTAAGAACAAAAAGGATGAAATAAAATGTAGTTTATTTCCAAGTTTATTTATTTAAGGCAGTACTGGAGTTTAATCTTTAGACCTGCTCAACGTTCAGGTTCAGGACCAGCACTAAAAAAAAAAATAATAAAACCTAGAAACTGATGGACCTGTAGATCAAGTGAAGCATTGGTTGGCTTAACAACAGAGAGGTCTAAGAACATGGGCAGTTAGGGAAAAATCTTTTTTGGGCATCTCTTAAGAGCAAGTCCTCACTCCTGGGGGGGGGGCGGCCCCCCCACCCCGCCCTGGGCATGGACTCCGCCTTGCCTCAGGCCCCGCCCCCAGGGAGACCCCGCCTCCGTCCCGCCCCAAGCGCGGGCTCCACCCCAGGGGGTGGGCTCCGCGTGGCCCCGCCCCCGGGACGTAGCCACGCCCCTGGAGGGCCCCGCCCCCGACCTCTGGCAATTTTGTCTTCCAAAGTCCATTTGGAGCCTTTCCAAAGATAACTGGCTACGAGTCCCCAGGGGCTGAGTCCCGAATGCCACGGGCTCCACGCGTGGGCCGGAAGCGGAAGTGACGTCAGCGAGCCGCGGATTCTTTGCCGGCGGCGCTGGCTGCGCTCGGCGGTCCCGAGCACCTTCCCTGCATGGTGGGTGCGTCCCTCATTTGGGTAAGTTCCAGATGTGCTGGGGGGGCCGCAGAGGTGGCGAGGCCTCAGGGCGTCCACACGGCATGCGGACCCCACAGAGGCCTGCTTCCACCCCGGCGCGCGCGGCCCTGTCAGGTCCTGGGGGAGCGGGCGGGAAGCGTCCCGGCTGCCGGGCTCGGGGCTTCGTCCACGGGGCTCCTGTCGTCATCCAGCGGCGACCGAGTGCGTCAGAAACGTGCGCCCGAACACAGCGACCGGGTTGATGGGTTCGTTGTTTTTCACGCACATACCAGCGAGAAAGTTGAATTCGCAAATGAGGTCCAGTGACAGATGAAATGCCTAAAATGCACCAGCGACAACAGGCTGCAAATCTCGCAGAAATACCTTTGTATTTATAATATACGTGCATGCATGCGTCCGTGCGTGTATCTATACGTGTTACGTGGTGGGGATGCACCTCAGTGGTAGGAGGCTGCTGGCCTAGCATTAGGCCCCCGGTGTCAGAATTTCTTGGTTAACACATTTACAAGGTTACATCAGTTTTGTTGGGGTTAAACCTTTTCTTTCTTTCACAGCATTGGATTTGAACTCAGGGATGTTGGCATGCTAAGCAAGTGCACTACCACTTGAGCCATGCCTCCAGTTCTGATTTCATTGGCTTTGATTTGCCTAGTACTGTTGACTTCATAGGGTATTCATGGCTATTGGCTACCACAGGTACGTGTGTGTGTGTGTGTGTGTGTGTATGTATGTATGCTTGAACTCGTCCTGGGTGCCGTCCCTGAGTTTTCTCAAGGCTGCCACTCTACTGCTTGAGCCACAGCTCCACTGCTAGCTTTTTGGTGGTTAATTGGAGATTAGCGTCTCATGGGCTTTCGTGCCCGGGCTTTGAACTTCAGTCTTCAGATCTCAACCTCCTAAGGAGCTAGGATTACAGGCTTGAGCTCTGCTGTTTAGCTGTGGTAATTTTTTAATCTGTTATGTATCAGTCTGTGCCTTTGTGCTGGACAGATGGTGGTTTAATTGCACAAATAAGTAGGAGAGTTGGGCCAGGCACCCGTGGCTCACCCCTGTAATCCTTGCTACTTAGAGCCTCATCTCCACAGGTCCCTTTCAGAAGCTTCCAAAGCCACCTCTCTGCATTGTTTCCTACAAGGAAAGGAATTTCCAGTGCTTGGTGAGGCTGACTCCATTCCCTGCTTCCTCCCATCTCGCAGACATATTGATCCCAGTGAATTCAGGTGAGCAGGTGTGAAGTGGTTCAAAATTCTCTTCCTCCTCCTCCCTCCCCCCCCTCCTCTTCCTCTTCCTCTTCCGTGTATCTGTCCTAGAGCTTGAACTTAGGGTACTATTGTTCAGCTTTTTTGCTTAAGACCAGAGTGCTACCACTTGAGCTACAGCTCCACTTCAGGCTTTTTGCTGGTTAATTGAAGATAAGAGTCTCACACACTTTCCTTCCCAGGCTGGCTTCATTCTAGTTGATTCTCTGATCTCAGTTGATTCTCTGATTACAGTTCTGAGCCACTTGGTGCCCTACTGTAGACATATTTTTGTGACTATTTCAGGAATTGGCTCAAGTGACAGAGTGCTAGCCTTGAGTGAAAAAGCTAAGGGACAGCACTCAGCCTCTGAGTTGAAGCCCCAGTATTGGCATACAGAAAAAGAAAAAGAAGGAAGGGAGGGAGGGAGAGGGGGAAGAAAAGGGGAAAGGGAAGGGAAGGGGAAAGGGAAGATTGGCTTTGGATTTCAGGGGTCCAGACATGAACACTTGGCTCTGTTTTTTCTGGGGCCTGGGGTGATACAATAACATGATGAGCAGCTCATCGAACGACAAAGCTCACCTCGTGGTGGCCAGGAACAGGGACAGAGAGCAGAAGGGGTCAGAAAATTACACCCTTTGAGAACACGCCCCAGTGACTGACTTTCTCCAAGGAGACAAACCAGACATTTCTACCACCTCCTAGTATAGGAATCCATCAATGCATTGAGCCATTCAGAAAGATCCAGACCCACTCCCCTTTCCAAAGTCCTGGGGGACCAAGTCTTCAGTACATATGAGCTTATGGGGATGTTTCAGGCCCAACTGGTAAGTGACCTTGTATAGGACTATCCCAAGTATGTGTGTTTTGAAAAAAGATGTTACCACTGGAGGTGTGGCTCAAGTGGCAGTATGCCTGCCTAGAGAGCAAGATGGGGGGATGAGAGTTCAATCCCCCATGCCACTAAAAATAATAAAGAAGAGCTAGACACTGGTGGCTCATGCCTGTACTCCTAGCTAATCAAAAGGCTGAGATTTGAGGATCGCAGGTTGAGATTGGAGGATTGCGGTTCAAAGCCAGCCCAAGCAGGAAAGTCTGTGAGACTTTATCTCCAATTAACCACAAAAAGGCAAAAGTGGAGCACTAGCCTGGAGAGAGAAAGAAACAAAACTCAGGGATAGCAACCAAGCCCAGAGTTCAAGCCTCAGGACCAGAAAAAGAAAAGAAAAGAGGTCCTATATTATTATTGTGATGATAGCCCCGGTGGAATATAGTGTTACATCTGGCCAGAGATTTCCTTACCAGTAAAGTGAGGCTAGTGCACTTTTCCCCAGTGGACAGCACAGCCCCTGAGCCCTCACCCAGTTCTAGGTGAGCCAGGACTTCCCTGGCATGGATAAGCAGTAGTGTGTGTGTGTGTGTGCATGTGTGTGCTGGGATGGAATGGTTCCTAGCCATGCAGGTGTAGGAATTATGATGGGCTCTGTGTTCTCAGGCCTCCTATCTCTTTTCTTCCAGGTGGTCGTCTTTCTAGAGGCCTGAAGAAAAGGCAAAGGTGGAGAGGATGGTAGCTGATTGCCTGACACATTGCTACGAGGTATGCAGAGAAAGCACCACGATGCCATGCCCTTGCTAGGAACACCTTGGCCTTCTAGGCAGGCTGGGCTCCAGAGCTTTCTCCCGCTCAGGCTAGTGCTGGATCACTTGAGCCAGGCTTCAGTTCCAACTCCAGAGCTTCTAAAGCCAGTAGAGAGCCCCACTCAAAGACTGAGCTCCCAGGAAACAGCATCTCTCCTCACGGTGGGCTAATGCCTGAAAATCATGCCAGGACCTCAGTAATTCTGAAGTAGTCATAGCCCTTATGGCACAAGTGCACATTTTCTATGTTGCCAAGTGCTTTGTTCAATTAAGAAACACAGAATGAAGCCAGGTGCCAGTGGCTCACGCTTGTAATCCTAGCTACTTAGGAGGCTGAGATCTGAGGATCGTGGTTCAAAGCCAGCCCAGGCAGGAAAGTCTGTGAGACTCTTATCTCCAATAAGCCACTCAGAAAACCAGAAGTGGCGCTGTGGCTCAAGTGGTAGAGCTCTCGTCTTGAGCTGAAGAGCTGAGGGACAGCACTCAGGCCCAGAGTTCAAACTGCACAACCAATTAAAAAAAAAAAGAAAGAAAAAAAATGGAGTGTCCATTTCTTTTTTCTTTACATAGTTGTACAAAGCAGTTGCTATTCAACAAAGCAGTGTATGAATACAATACATCTTGACCAATGTCACCCCAAGTGTCCTTATCTTGCGTATTTATTCAGCAATTTATCCAGTGCATGTGCAGGAATGTTAAACTATAATTTACAGGAGGGGGGCTCTGGTCCAGTGGTTAGAGGAGATCATGACCAAAAGCTACTCAGGAAGCTGAGATCTGAGAATCATGGTTCAAAGCCCAAGCAGAAAAGTTTCCATGAGGGGCTGGGATGGTGGCTCAGTGGTAGAGCACTTGCATTGCATGCCTGAGGCCCTGGGTTCGATTCCTCAGCACCACATAAGCAAAAAGAAAAAAGCCGGAAGTGGCGCTGTGGCTCAAGTGGTAGAGCACTAGCCTTGAGCTGAAGAGCTGAGGGACAGCGCCCAGGCCCAGTGTTCAGGCCCCACGACCGGACCCAAAAAAAAAAGTTTCCATAAGACTCTCATCTCCAATTAACCACTCAAAAACGAGAAGTGGGACTATGGCTCAAGCCTTGAGCGCCAAGAAGCTCAGGGACAATACCCAGGCCCTGAGTTCAAGCCCCATAACTGACAAAAAAAAAAAGGTCACTAGCCCCCACGTCTGGAGCAGATAAACAAGAAGCTGGGTGTGGATTCAGGGCAGACTGGGATGTCATTTTTAATGTGGGGATGATGCTGTTGTTGCTTGTGCCTGAGGCTGATGTGTGTGTGTGTGACTGTTTAGGACTCAGTGACCTTTGATGATGTGGCTGTGGGCTTCACCCAGGAGGAATGGATCTTACTGGATCGGGCTCACAGAGAGCTATACAGAGAGGTGATGCTGGAGACCTACCAGAACCTGGCCTCGCTCGGTGAGACTCCATCCTGCCTAGGACTTCCTGGGGGAGGGCGCAGTCCTGTGCTGGGTACACTGCAGGATCTCTGGGCTCCACTAAACACACTGGGAGGAAGCATCCTGACACAGTACCACTCTATCTGCAGGGATCTGTCCCAAGACTCCCAGGGGATTCCGACCACAATCTGGAGTGAGTCCTGTCCATAGAGTTTCCCAGGTGTTTCCAGGTGCTGCAGTAAAACCAGCACAAATTCCTTTTCCCTCTCCATAGTTCCACACGTGGATTCCTTCCCACAGTTGATATGAGCAACCTTGGCAGATAATTTTTTTTCCTCTCCTTTCTGAGAAGCCTAGAACTTTTCACCTAAGCAATTTAGGAGTTCTCTTTACCACTGATCACCACGATCACTACTGGGGGGAGGGTTACTTGAACCCAGGCACTGCTGTGTAGCAATGAGTGATCTGTTGCAAGAAGGCTGCTGGGTGACCAACGTGCAGGTAGCATTTACAGCATGGCAATTTGGACACACAGATGATTCATATCTGAGGTGTGACACAAAGGAAAACTGATCAAAAGTGTACCATTTAAAACTTTGGACTTTAGCCGGGTATCGGTGGCTCACGCCTGTCATCCTAGCTACTCAGGAGGCTGAGATCTGAGGATCGTGGTTCAAAGCCAGCCCAGGCAGGAACATCCGTGAGACTCTTATCTCCAATAAACCAGTAGAAAACTGGAAGTGGCGCTGTGGCTCAAGTGGTAGAGCGCTCGCCTTGAGCTGAAGAGTGTAGGGACAGTGCCCAGGCCCAGAGTTCAAGCCCCACAACTGACCAAAAAACAAAAACAAAACATTTTGGACTTGGGCTGGTAATATGGCTTAGTGGTAGAGTGCTTGCCTAGTGTGCATGAAGCTCTTGGTTCAACTCCTCAGTCCAAATAAAGAATAGAAAAAGTAGGTTGGGAAGGTGGCTCAGTGGTAGAGTGCTTGCCTTGCATGCATGAGGCCCTGGGTTCCATTCCTCAGCACCACATAAGCAAAAAAAAAAAAAAAAATCCGGAAGTGGCGCTGTGGCTTATGTGGTAGAGCGCTAGCCTTGAGCTGAATTGCTGAGGGACAGCGTGCAGGCCCAGAGTTCAGGCCCCACGACCGGACCCAAAAAAATAAAATAAAATAAATAAATAAATAGTAGAAAAAGCCAGAAGTAGTGTTATGGCTCAAGTAGTAGAGGCTAGCCTTGAGCAAAAGAAACTCAGGGACAGTGCCCAGGCCCTGAGTTCAAGCCCCAGGACTGGCAAAAAAAAAAAAGAAAGAAAGAAAAAACTTTGGAAGTTTTGTTTTCTTTTATCAGCTTGTGGGGCTTAAATTTAGGGCCTGGGTGCTGTCCTGTTTTTGATCAAGGCTAGTGCTATACCATTTTGAGCCACAGCACCACTTCTGATGTTCTGGTGGTTTATTGTAGATAAGAGTCTCATGGACTTTCCTGCCTGCCCTGTCTTTGAATTGTGATCCTCAGATCTCAGCCTCCTAAGTCGCTAGGAAGACACCATGAGCCACTGACTCCCAGCACAAAGAAAATTTATATTTAATATTTTCTTGTAGGACAGAAAGCCAAATCATAGATATGTGGGCCTACCATTTAATTTGCTGTGATAATTCTCAAAATGCGGTCCCAGGTGACGTTACCTTTTTTCCATCAGAAATGTAAATCATTGCACTGGGGACGTAGCTTAGTGATAGAGCCCTTTCCTGAATGCACATAACGCAATCTCCAACAGTGCAAGAAAGAAAGAAAAAAAAACTATAACTTAATGTCTTTCTCTTTTTACAGAATTAGCAATTGTGTGTAAATCCCATTTGTGTTGGCTCACCATCTAGATGACTCTGTACTGCACTCCACAGCAATCACTGATCGCTGCCAGTTTGTTTTCCAGAACAAAAACCTTTTCTTTGTTGCACTTTATTTTCTGTTTGTGGCTTGTTAATGGGTACTCAGTAGATGTTTGGGCTTCAGGATTGAGGAGTATTAAATCACAGGAAGAGGCAATATCAGCAATGTTTAGCCTATGAAGAATTCCAATGCCTCCATTAGAAGCATGGCTCCTTGCCAGGCACCAGTGGCTCATCCTGTAGTCCTCATTATTCAGGAGTCTAAGATCTGAGGAGCCCGGTTTGAAGCCAACCTAGGCAGAAAAGCCCATGGGACTCTTATCTGCAATTAACCAGCAAAATGATGGAATGGCTCAAGTGGTAGAGCACCTGCCACAAGTGGAAAAATGCCAAACAAAAAACTAGGCCCTGAGTTCGAGCTCATGTACACAGACACACACACACACACACACACACACACACACACACACACACACACACACACACCCCCATACCAAAAAGAAGTATAGCTCCTCAATTCATCCTTAAGTGTATGGCTTTGGCTCCAACCTTCCCCATGAAAGCATATCTCCCCATGTACAGGACGTGAACCCATCAAACCCAGTCTGATCTCCTGGCTAGAAGAAGATGTGTGGCTTGTACAGAGCGGAGCCCTCCATGGTGAGTGTTTAGAAGTATAGGGAGGAATCTTTTTCTTGTTTTTTTTTTTCCCCCCCCTGGTCCTTGACTTGAACTCAGGGCCTGAGCACTGTCCCTGAGCCTTTGTGCTCAAGAATACTGTTCTACTAGTTGAGACAAAACTCTGCTTCCTGCTTTTTGTGGTTTATTGGAGATAAAAGTCTCATGGGCTTTCCTGGCCAGGTTGGCTTCGAACCGTGAACCTCAGATCTCAGCCTCTTCAGTGGCTGGGATTACAACACCTAGCTAAGGGAGGAATCTTTTAAGACACCTTTGAAGGGACAAGGCTTGGGCCACTGACCTGGGAAGGAGGGGAATCCTCAGCTTCTCCCATTCCTACCTCTGTCTACTGAGTCTTCCCTGTGATTGTCCAAGATATCATGTCTTCTACCTTTTTTAGCGTTTTTTGTCCCATGTTCTTTGTCCAGATCTGTGCTCCTTGTCATCCTGATAAAATTCTCCATCATCCATTTGAATTTTCAAAGGATCAGCTCATAATAAACTGCCAAAAACTATATTTGTGGCTCACACCTGTAATCCTAGCTACTCAGGAAACTGAGGTTGAGGATCATGGTTCAAAACCAACTCAGGAAAGAAAGCTCTTTAGACTCTCATCTCCAATAAACTACTCAGAAAAGCTAGAAGTACAGCTGTGGCTCAAGAGGTAGAGCTCTAGCCTTGAACACAAAAGTTCAGGAAAAAGCCCTGAGTTCAAGCCTCAGACTGACACACACAAAACAAAAACAAAAAAATCCTTTGAGTCACATTCTTAACAATGGCCAATAATTGGCACCGTCAAAACACTTCTACTTTCCCTTCTTTCAGCCAGATGCAATTTGAAATCCTAGACAAGTTGGGCTCTATCATTTTTACTACAACATTTTTTTGGGGGGGTCCAGTCGTCGGGCCTGATCTCTGGGCCTGGGTTCTGTCCCTCAGCTCTTCAGCTCAAGACTAGCGCTCTACCATTTGGGGCTCTATCATTTTTAACTCTTGCAATTGACCATTTATCTCCAAACATTAATTTTTTTTTCTGTTTTATCTTCAGACTGGGAAATGCAACTTAACACTAAAGAGTCAACATTTCAGGAGGACTCTTTGAGGAAACACACTTCCAGTGGGATACGAACAGTAAGATTAACAAGAGATAGTTGTTATTTTCTCACCCAAAATAATATTTCCAATTCCATTTTAGAAAAAATGTATTATTCACTCAGCAGGGAGCAATGTGTCTGAGAAACACTCACACTACAATGAATTTGGGATATCCCAAATTTACAAGGGGATGGAGAGCTTGGCTAAGTGATAGAGTGCTTGCCTGTGTTTTGTCCTTAGTATTTAAAAACCAGTGTAAGCCAGGCTCTTGTGGCTCACGCCTGTAATCCTAACTACTCAGGAGGCTGAGATATGAGGATTGTGGTTCAAAGCCAGCCGAGGCAGGAAAGTCTGTAAGATTCTTATCTCCAGTTAACCACCAGAAAACCAGAAATGGCACTGTGGCTCAAGTGGTAGAGCACTGGCCTTAAGCTGAATAGCTCAGGGAAAGCACCCAGGCCAAAAGTTCAGACCTCACGACTGACGACAACAACAACAAAAAACAATCTAGCTGCTGAGTGCCGTAATTCCAGAATTCGGAGGCTTTAATGGGAGGATCAAGAGTTCCAGGTCAGCCTGGATAGAAAAGTACACAAATCCCCCATCTTCAAAACAATGAGTAAAAAGCTGAACTGAAGGTGTGGCTCATGCAGTAGAGCATCAGCCGTGAGTGAGCAAGCTGACCAACATCAAGGCACTGATTGCGAACTACAGTACTCCCATCCCCAAAACTTTTTTCCTTTTTTTTTTTTTTTCTGTCAGTTGTGGGGCCTGAACTCTGGACTTGGGCGCTGTCCCTCAACTCTTCAGCTCAAGGCTAGCACTCTACCACTTAAGCCACAATGCCACTTCTGGCTTTTTCTGTTAATGTGATGCTGAGGAATTGAACCCAGGGCCTCATGCGCGTAAGGCAAGCATTCTACCACTGAGCCATCTTTGCAGGCCCCTCCCCCCCAATTTCTTCATACATATACAGACCCACAGTTTAGACATCAGATTTTTCAAGCAATTTGTGAATACCTGTACAGCAGCTTTAAAATTAAAGCAGATTTAAAATTAAGGCCAGGTGTCATGGTTCAAAGCCAGCCTAGGAAATTTCCATGAAATTCATCTCCAATTCACCAGCAAAGAGCTGGAAATGGCTCAAATGGTACAGCACCAGCCATGAGCACAAAAGTTTAGGGAAAGTGCTCAGGCCCTGAGTTTAATCCCCAGGACTGGCACACATACATACACACACACACACACACACACACACAAACACACACACTAAAGCAGGTGGCTCAGCATTTGGGCGCCATTTTTGTGTGGCATCATTCCATGAGAAAGAATATTGTTGGGAAAATGTCATAAAAAGGCAAAAATTCCGAATCATGGTCTCAATGACATAGTTTATCATCCTTCTTCATTATCAGCATGGAGGAAGCAATAGCACTGGGGAATCTGGAGGTTAATGAGGGAAAACCCTGACTTGCTTGGAGGAAGTCAACCGAAGAACAAGGAGAGACCAGAGAGAAATAACTGTCCCCTCGTGGGGAGGGGGCGGGGCGTCCCAGCAGGGTTCCTGATAATCATGCTCTTGCGATTACTACCAGTGCCCGCCCCTGAGTACTCAGGATGGGTTCCAGGCGTGGCTCAGTGGTAGAGCCCCTGTCTCACAAATCCAAGGCCCTCAGTTCAAACCCCAATACCACCCATAAAGGAAAAAAAAAAAAATTAAAAGAGACAAGAATTATTCCATGGTTAGAACAAGGTAGTTTGGGGTTCTTGTGTAAGGGTCCCCCATTCAACTCAAATGCACAGGGCAGGGAATGTGGGCCTGTCAATCAAAATGGCAAACCATCACCATCATCATCATCATCATCATCATCACGCTGTTTCTGTCATCATGTCGGTAAACCCCTCAGTAAGTGTGAACATGTCTGTGATGCTCAACCGCCCTTTCTTCACCAGGCAGGAAGCCACCTCGCCCAGGCCCCCCGTGATCACGCGCAGGGCGGAGAAATCTTCAGCGAGCACTCGTATTTCAAGACACCCGTGAAGACACAGCACGCGTGGCCCCCCGCGGCCCCCGGCGGCCGCTCCAGCGAGGCGGCGGCGGCGCCCGTGCCCCTGCACGCCCTCCGCACCTACGCGTGCAAACTGTGCGGCAAGGCCTTCGGGCGCTCCTCCAACCTCAGCCGGCACATGCGCACGCACACGGGCGAGAAGCCGTACGAGTGCAAGGAGTGCCGCAAGGCCTTCACCACCTACTCGCGCCTGGTGGAGCACTTCCGGACGCACACGGGCGAGAAGCCCTACAAGTGCAAGGACTGCGGCAAGGCGTTCAGCAAGCGCTCGGGCCTCATCACGCACCTCCCCACGCACGCCTCGGACAAGCCGTACGCGTGCGAGCAGTGCGGGAAGGCCTTCGCCTCGGCCCCGCGCCTGGCGCAGCACACCCGCATCCACAGCGGCGAGAGGCCGTACATCTGCAAGGAGTGCGGCCGGGCCTTCCTCACCTCGTCCTACCTGCGCAACCACGTGGGCCGCACCCACAGCCGCGAGCGGCCCTTCCTGTGCGGGGACTGCGGCAAGGCCTTCCACTCCTACTCCTACCTGCGCCGCCACGTGCGCATCCACAGCGGGGAGAGGCCCTACCTGTGCAAGGAGTGCGGCAAGGCCTTCCTCAACTCCTCCTACCTCCACAACCACGTGCGCAAAACGCACAGCGGCGAGAGGCCGCACATCTGCGGCGAGTGCGGGAAGGTCTTCCACGCCTCCTCCTACCTCCGCCGCCACGTGCGCACGCACAGCGGGGAGCGACCCTGCATCTGCAAGGAGTGCGGGAAAGCCTTCCTCAACGCCTCCTACCTGCGCAAGCACCTGAGCACGCACGCCGGGGACCGGCCCTACGGCTGCACCGAGTGCGGCAAGTCCTACGACCGATCGAACCTGCTGCACGACCACCTGAAAACGCACCTGGTGGAAAAGCCATTCGAGTGCGACGTGTGCGGGAAAGCCTTCCAGTACTTCTCATACCTCACCAAGCACATCCGCATTCACACCGGAATCAAGCCCTACAAGTGTAAGTACTGCGGCAAAGACTTCACCACGTCCTCCAGCCGCACGGAACACGTGCGGACCCACACCGGGGAGCGGCCCTACGAGTGCAAGGAGTGCGGCAAAGCCTTCAGCTCCTCCTCCAACCTCATCCACCATGGCAAGATCCACAGCAGAGAGAAACCCCTCGTTAGAGAAGTAAAAAAAAACCTCCACTAGCTCCTAACTGAGCACTTACTGACGCCAACAGCAATGGCTTGGGATGGAAGGAAGGCTGACAGTCCTGTAGGACTTCTCGTCTTACAACATCACACTGGAATGTTCCCTGGGCTTTCTGCCCAGGCTCTGGTGGTTCACACCTGGAGTCCCAGTTACTCAGGAGGCTGAAATCTGAGGATCCGCAGTTCAAAGCCAAACCAGGCAAGAAACGTCCATGAGACTCGTTATCTCCAAAAAGCAAGAAAGAGAAAGAGAGAAATCTACTCCAGAAAAGCCAGACATGAAGCGGTAGTTCTAGTAGAACACAAGCCTAGAGCAAAAAATAATTACAGATAAGGAGTATGGGCCAGCGCTCAGTCAAGCCAGTTCACTTGAAAATATGAATTGAACCTGTGTTCTCACAGCTCCCCATGAATGTAAGCAAGAAAGCAGGAAACCCCTCACTTGTTTCCTGGGAAGTTATTAATTATAGGAAGTTATTAAATACAGTTATTAAATACCATGGAGGGAGAGAACGCTGATGTAAATAATAAGGTTGGATCATGGCTGTACAAGATATTTCCATCTTCCCTTGTGCTTTCAGTGGCAAAAACTGAAGGTAAGGAACAGTGGGAAATCACCTTTCATGGGGCATGAATCCTCCAGCTGACTCCGCCAAGAGATGACTCTAAGGGAAGTGGAATTTGCCCCCCACCCCCAGTCAGTCCATCTGGATGGTGGTGGTGTATTTGGACCATTTTTTTCCTTCTGTCCTGGTCTTTTTTTTTTGCTAGTCCTAGGGCTTGAACTCAGGGCCTAAACCCTGTCCCTGAGCTTCTTTTGCTCAAGGCTAGCACTCTACCACTTGAGCCACAGTGCCACTTCTGGCTTTTTCTGTGTATGTGGTGCTGAGGAATCGAACCCAGGGCTTCATGCATGCTAGGCAAGCGCTCTACCACTGAGCCACATTCTCAGCCCTGTCCTGGTCATTCCGAGAGTGATGTGGCTTGCTTCCCACAGCAACACCAGTCCATTCTGGTTGCCATGTCTTCTGGAGGGGAGGGGGCACAACTTGGTGGAAAGGACCTTAGGGTAGAAACGTGATGCGATTGCCCAATGTAGATCTCTGCTTGGGGTTGTCATTCTTTTGTTTGGCTGAGAATATAGCTTTCTGTGTTCTGGAAAAATGTCCATGTTACTCTTTCACATGTGGTCCTTTCGGATAAAGGTTGGGAGCAAGAGGAGGCATAAGGAGGGAGTGAGGGAATAGTGAGCAGTAGATCTGAGTGTGGAGGAGAGTTGGAACGCTCACTCCTGAGGTTGAGGGGTTCCCACAGCACAAGCAGTACAGGGAGGGACCATAAGGCCTGAGTTCCCCGTGTCACCTCTGCACTTGCTCTACAGATTGAAGAAGCATCAGCTTCACCCACAATCTGCTCTTCTCCACATGTTGTGGAGACAAAGGCTGCTAGAAACATGGCTTGTCAGGGTCCTCGAATGTGTGCGTGCCTGCTGGTCCTAGGACTTGAACTCAAGGCCTGGGCACAGTCCCCGAGCTTTTTGCTCACGGCTGGCACTCTACCACTTGAGGCCCACCGCCACTTCTGGCCTTTTTAGTGGTTCATTGCAGGTAAGAATCTCCAGGACTGGCTGGGAAAGATGGCTCAGTGGTAGAGCACTTGCCTTGCATGCCTGAGGCCCTGGGTTCGATTCCTCAGCACCACATAAGCCAAAAGAAAAAAGCCAGAAGTGGCTCTGTGGCTCAAGTGGTAGAGTGTTCGCCTTGAGCTGAAGAGCTGAGGGACAGCGCCCAGACCCAGAGTTCAGGCCCCACAACCGGACCCCAAAAAAAAAAAAAGAGTCTCCAGGACTTTCCTGTCTAGTTTTGACCAGTGATCATCATATCTCAGCCTCCTGAGTAGCTGAGATTATAGGCATGGGCCACGGGCACCAGCACAGTCCACCTTTTTTTTGGTCGGTCGTGGGGCCTGAACTCTGGGCCGGGACACTGTCCCTGAGCACTTCAGCTCAAGGCTAGCGGTCTACCACTTGAGCCACAGCGCCACTTCCGGTTTTTCTGCTTATGTGGTGCTGAGGAATCTAACCCAGGGTCTCATGCATGCAAGGTAAGCACTATACCACTGAGCCACCTTCCCAGCCCCTAGTCCACCATCTTGACTAGCATTGCACCCCCTGATCAGGGTCTGGAGTTACAGACCTGCAGATCTCCACTACTAGACTTCAGTCTACAGAACCAAATTGAGACACTTAACTCGAGCAGCCAAAGGTTATATCACATGTCATCACGGCTACAGCTACTTGATGGTTCTTCCTGTGGCTCTTAGGCTAACCACTACACAAGAGATCTTGAGTGGGAGACCTGTGTCCCTTTGTGTATGTGTGTATTGCTGCCTTTAATTTTGATAACCACTCAGAGGTCATGAGTCTTTATTCCCTTGTGTGGGTTGTAACAGCTCATAGACTATCATTAGGCGCCATCCAGATTGTCCTAAATAAGGCTTGGAGGGGCCAGGTGCTGGTGACTCACACTTGTCAACCTAGCTACTCAGGAGGCTGAGGTCTGAGGAACACCGCTCAAAGCTAACACAGGTAGGAAAGTCTGAGAGACTTATCTCCAGTGAACTACCAGAAAACTGCAAGTGGCACTGTGGTTCAAAGTGGTAGAATGCTAGCGTTGAGCAAAAAAGCTCAGAGACAGAGCTCAGGCCCTAGGTTCAAGCCCCACAACTGACCAAAAAAATATAATAATAAAACAAAATTTGGTGATTTTCCTAGAGACTTGGGCAAAGTGAGCAGTGTAAGTTGGCCTCAAACTTGGGCTTAGATTCCTACTGACAGTATTAACAACATCCCAGTTTCCTTGCCTGCCTGAGTTCACTGCTGGTGAGGACATCATCCTGCCCCAAGGCCTGGCCAGGGGAGATGAATTCCATCTGCACTGCACACCAGCAAGGTCGCGTTTAGAACCTGCCCTGTAGCAATGCTACACACAAACACAGCAGCTTGCTTTCCTTTCTTTGATAAGTTGGGTCTGCTGTGGGACCAGTCTTGCTGCTGGCTTCTCCTGGGATTCCTGAGATTCCTTGGATTCTCAGCCTTTATGGGCTTTGTAGCCCATGGCTGTAGGAAAGTTGGATAAGGTTAGTGTTATCTGTGTAGTTCTAAAGGTTGGCAAAACACAGGGCACTGGTGGCTCATGCCTGTAATCCTACCTACTAAGGAGGCTGAGATCTGAGGATCAAGGTTCAAAGCCAGCCCTGGCAGGAAAGTCCATGAGACTCTTCAGTCCAATTAACCACCAGAAAACCAGAAGTGGCACCATGGCTTAAATGGTAGAGGGCTAATCTTGAGCTGAAGAACTGAGGGACAGCACCCAGGCCCAGAGTTCAAGCCCCACGACCGACCCCACCAAAAAAAATGGGGGGGGAGCTGGGAAGGTGGCTCAGTGATAGAGCGCTTGCCTTGCATGCCTGAGGTCCTGGGTTCGATTCCTCAGCACCACATAAGCAAAAAGAAAAAACTGGAAGTGGCACTGTGGCTCAAGTGGTAGAGTGCTCGCCTTGAGCTGAAGAGCTGAGGGACAGCGCCCAGGCCCAGAGTTCAAGCCCCACGACCAACAAAAAAAAAAAAAAAAAAAAGTTGAGCCAGGTGCCAGTGGCTCATGCCTGTAATCCTAGCTACTCAGGAAGCTGAGATCTGAGGATTGTGGTTCAAAGCCAGCCAGGGCAGGAATCCATGAGACTCTTATTTCCAGTTAGCTACTAGAAAACCAGATGGGGTGCTGTGGCTCAAGTGGTAGAACGCTAGACTTGAGCTGAAAGCTGAGGGACAGCACCCAAGCCCAGAGTTCAAGCCCCTCGACTAACAAAAAAAAAGTTGAATATTAGCATAGCAAAATAGTATTAATTGTGGCTGCATAGGGCTGGAAATGTAGCATAGTAGTAGAGTGTTTGCCTAGCATGCATGAAGCCCTGGGTTTGATTCCTCAGTATCACATAAACAAAATCAGGAAGTGGCGCTGTGGTTCAAGTGGTGGAGTGCCAGCCTTCAGCAAAAGCAGCTCAGGGACAGTGCTCAGACCCTGAGTTCAAGCCCTAGGACTGGCAAAAAATATGTGGCTGCATAAGCAGGTGGCATACATAAATGAAGAATTCTCTATAAAATGTGTTAGCAAATCTGTATTTGCATTTTTTTGCCAGTGTTGGGGCTTGAAGTCAGGATCTGCCCCACCTTGCTTGCTCATGGCTGGTGCTCTACCACTTGAGCCACTCCAATTCCAGCTTTCTGCTGGAGATAGAATCTCTTGTCTTTTTTTTTTCCCCCCAGCCAGGCTTTGAACTGTGATACTATAGATCTCAGCCTCTTGAGTAGCTTGGATTACAGGTGTGAGCCACCAGCACCAAGCTTGTACCAATATTTTTTTTGGGGGGGGTCCAATATTTTTTTTAGAACCTGTTTTTTTTTCAAATTTATTGTGATTGTGGTTACATAATTCCCCAAATTTCACAGTATTGTGGGATAGTGATGCCTAGTTAAGGTCACAAACACATTCTAATTTTCATGGAGCAAATTGTCTATCATGGTCTGTAACATTTGTGAGTTCTATGAGCTTTGCAATACAGTTATTTCTTCCACATTGGGTGATACGTACATTTCTTTTGTTTTGTATAGTATCAGCCGTTCCCTCTTTCCCACTTGTTCCCTCCCTCCCATCGCTGCCATTGAGTTGCTTGGTTCATTTTGATCAATGTCCAGTGCAGCTGATGGGTCCCACTGGTGTATGTTTTTCCCTGATTCCCTCTAGTTCTGTGTCATACTCCTGGTTTCCCTCCGTTGTGCACATACATGCCATATATGTGATCAGCAGCATGGGGTTATTTAGTAGTGATTCGACCAGATGAGAGGAAGTCCTTTGTTTCTTAAGTCTTGTTAATTTTGTCATATCACCTTACATTTTGGATTTAACATCCACTTATCAGAGAGACCATGTGCTGTTTGTCTCTTTGCTCTTGGCTTACCTCGCTCAACATGATTTCTCCCTGCAAATGCCATTATTTTGTCCTTTCTGATGGCTGCATAATATTCCATTGTGTATACATACCACAATTTTTGGATCCATTCATCTGTGGTGGTGTACCAGTACTTTTAGCAGAGCTGGGGAT